TGTGTGTGTGTGTGTGTGTTTGAAACCTAGTCTATGTTTAAGATATAAGAACATGTGGTACATTGATTTTGTTGGACTGTAGTGAAACTGCAAAGATTGATATTGATCGATTGAGAAACCAGTTTTAACCTTGTTACTACTCTGGAATCCAGGAAAGACAAATAGCAACCACACACCACATCACACACTCCTCTTTCCATGCTTAATTTGAAATCTGTCCATTCTAATGTCGTCTGAGACAAATTCCCTCAGGGCTCAGGGCACAACAATAACTCGAGCACAATACAAGCTTCATATTCAAATATGCAACAAAAGGAAAAAGTAATATCAATCACCATGTAAAGCTATGTATTGTGTTCTGCTCTGTCCTGTATGCATTCATATTTTAATGTTAATACGATATATCTAAATAGCTTAATTAGACCCAAACAGAGCTATTTGGCCAAAAACACAACAGCAATGCACCACCACCATGGAATCAGTGGCAGCATCAGGTTGGTTTTAGAAGATATATGAATGTAAATGTTAAATTATGAGGAATCCTGGAGGCAAATAGTCAGTAAACAGATGCAAATTGTTTAGTTTCTTCCTGAACAGTTTTCAACTTGTCCTTATGTCTAACATGTCTTCTATTATGTCTCACATTATAAAAATTACTTAACAGTCTCAGGGAAAATAAATTGTTGGAACAGATGCATGCATCCCCAATGTCATCAACGGCGCCTGGTATGCAGAGCGAACCCCCCAGTGAGAAAAAAAAAAGATCTCGACTGCCAGACTCTGCTGCTAATCTTCAAGTGCCTGAAGTATTCAGCCAGACCTTCACAGTGGAGAGGCTCCTGAGATCACAACATGTAAACAAGTGTTGTTGTGTTAAGTTATTTTTGTTGCTGTTTTTATCGCTGTAGATACAGAGCCCCAGTGGTGGCAGGTGCGAGCGCAACACTAGGTGGTTGGGTGCCTCACACACACACACAGACACACACACACACTCACACATGCATGCTTGTGTATATCAACAAAAACACATTCAGACACACTGTGCTCAGCGGGGCTTTAGCGACACCAGATTGCACGTTCATGGTGTCAAACGGTCAGGCTGCTGAGCTCAGTGTGCAGCTGATGTACACTTCACAGGGAATCGAGAAGTTATGGACCAAAACACAGATGCTTTTCTTATTTTTTGTCTTGGAGCACTGATTAAAATCTAATCTGTAACAGTGAATAATGCAACAACAGTAAATAATATACAGCAGCTGCATTATTTTCATATCTAAACCATAAACAAGTCGCTGGGGGCTGTTGGGTAAAGCAGAAAGAGCAGAAAAATAATGCATTCCATTAAAAAAAAAGGTTTGGGCTGAAGCTCCGTCTTATTACTATCCAATATGAGACTGACCTCTTCCTGCTGAACTCTTTGGCTGGCTTTATTAGTTCAAAGAAAGCTTTCGCTGTGTGTTTGTGTGTATGTGTGTCAGATGCATTGTGGGTAGGAGGGACTCTCACAACACTCCCACAATCCCCTGGGGGTTGAGAACCTTGCTGGATGCTTCAGCCACACCAGATGAAGCTCTTTTCCCCTCTTTGCCCTGCATGTTGCCAGGCCACCTGTCTGCTCCTCAGATATAAACAGTCTCTCACTTTCTCATACAGTTCTATTCTACTTCCTTTTGCCCCTCTGTCTCTGTTCTCTTTATTGTTTTCTATTTTTACCTTTCTTCACAGTGCCTTCCTGTTTCAGTAATCTCTTATGACATTATTTAATTCATTCTGCCATGACACTTTCATTAGGGTAATAAGCCCTGATTAATTTCAGTGGGTGGGAAAAAGAGGGGACGGCCTGAATGTAAATGTGGCGCTTTACCAAATGAGCGAGCGGTGGAGGAGTTGGCTGGGCAGGGAGTCCTGTCATCTATCAGTCGCCTCTCACTGTCCTGAGGGTTTTCCTCCTCTCTCACTGAGGCAAAACTCCAGTTTCATATGTGAGATTTGCAAATCCCCTCCGAACACATGGCTGCAATTAAACAAGTCAAATGATATTCATATTCTTGCCGCACACAAACAAATGAGCACAGCACCTGCGTGCGCTCACAATAGAGTCTGCCGAGCAATGATCTTGCCAAGTTTCAAGGACGAGCGCAGAAAGAGCAGACTTCTGAAATAATTATTACAACCTAGATTCAAGCAATAATCTGGAACCTAGACAGGGTGAAAACAGAGACAGAATAAAACAAAGCAGATCGAAGGCTTTGATGTTTAGATGGGATTGAAGCCTATACCATACACATCACTGCAATAAAATGATCCCATCCAACACTGACGTTATTAGTTCCAGTGTGCTGCAGAGCTCAGAGGACAGGCCGCATGTCACAGTTTGAAGTCTGCATTGACAGCACCTGATCTTATTGAATATCTTCAAAGGGAAAATAAAGGCAGGGGGCATACAAAGAATCATAGACTACCTGTAAATGCCCAGGCAGCCAAACATTCTAAACACACAAATAAAAATAGCAACTGTATGTAGACAAATAAAAACAGCACATGCACAAATCTCTCCATCTCTCTCTTTTAGCAGCAAATATGAGATGATGCATGACCTGTAATCTGCAGGCATGAAGTAATCTGAGTGAATGTGCATTTGGATTATCCGTCTGGAACGGTCTAATCTGAAACACTTCTCACACTGGTTGAGTGAGAGGTCATTAAAGAACCTCAGCTATGTGGAGAAGCAACGTATTAGTGGTTGCTTCAGTGTTGTGGGGATGGTTTGTAGCAGAAATTGTGTTCCTGTGGACATGATAGCTACAAATTATCTGTAGTATTTTTACTTCCTTCTCGCTGGCTCATTGGCTGCTCTTAAAGCTCCTCTTACACCTTCATCCGAGATTCACTTTTATCATCACGATGTGTTACATGACAGTTGCTATGACAGGTCTACCTCCCTGATCAGATTCAGGATGTGCAGACTGACGTTTCTGTTCAACCTATTTTGCATCACACTTCCTTGTTGACTGCAACATATATTTATCTCATCCCTCATACTTTTAAAATTTGCAAACAACAACCAAAAGATTACCTGAATATATAACCCATATCAGTATGTTACCTCTTTGTGATAGTGATGGGAAACAGTTAAATTAAGCCTGTGTATTAGGAGTTTAGATACTATTTGATGTGTTGCTGTCTTGCAAGAAATATTGTTCCATAAAAGCAAAGACAGCCAGCGTTTTTGAAACAGGTTCTTTCCATATGCCATAAGCCCTACTTTTAAATCACAGGCATAATAAATAATTATGCATATTATGTTTTTGTTATTTAAAATCATTTTAAGTGAGGCACTTAATTGTACTTTATAATTATCACACTTGTCTTTAAAACTACTGCTTTTTTATTGTCTTTTAACTGCTTGTTTGTGCACACGGTCCTGAGAAATGAAAATTTGTTCCATTGTGTGTTTTACAGATAGCTGGAATGACATGAAACGATAATAAGGACCAATATCAGTATCAGGAACCTTTGAGGGGAAAACATTATGATAGGATTCAGTTGATTATGCAAAATGTAATAACACTATCAGAAGAAAAATCTTGTCATTCATCACATATTTGCTTATTACAAAAACTTGTCTTTGTAAAATCTCCCTGGGTGAGATATATTTTCATTCAGTGTATTTTTCAGAGACTGACATCGAACTCTTGGCCAAATCTAACATTTGAGGATGACAATTTCACTGCAAAGACAATAGTACCTTGACCTCTACATGTTTGCCACATAGAGTGTTTTAGTTTTTGCTCTCTGTGTTGCAGCTGTGTGACTGACTGCATGTTCTATCTCTGATGTTGAGTCTTTGGGGATTCAATTCCCAGACAGGGAACAAGTAGATGCGCTGTTACATGGGAAATTCAATCAAACGGAATTAATGCAAGTGACCCCAGCTGCAAATGCTCACAGAGCATCCACATTCAACACACACACTCATTAACACAGAAGATTGTGCATATATGTAGTTTTGCAGTCTTACATATTCACACACACTTTTTACAGGAAATGACACATTCCTAACAGGAGATGATAATGCTCTCATCCTTGCATCATTCCATTTGCTCATGTCCCATATGTGCCTGCCTTGTTAGAATTCAGTCCTTCTGTACGTCTGCATTCACTTCAGTGAGTCACAGAGGGAGAGTATATCCCTCCTGTCTAAATAAAGCCTTGGTTAAAAGAGGGAAAACATCCTGAAATAGGCTTTCACATATCGTCCATATATATGTCATTATATTTTATTGTTCTTTATGCTCTGTCAAAGTCAGTGATTTGATTTTCCAGAATTATTTTTTACTTTATGTGATGGTTTAATAAATATTTGATATGATACAACTACTGTATAGAAGCAGCAAAGAAAACATGGACATTGGAGCATATTTTTTGAACATGTTAGATTATGTACAATATTTCAAGAACACCTAAAGGGAATTTTGGTACAAACATTTACTTGTACTCAAGGTACACTTTTTGCTTTGAGAGGGCTTTACCTTAAAGGAATAGATCACCGAAAGATTTAAATTCACTCATCACCTCACCACTATGGGTGGGTGAAGTGTCTGAGTCCAAAAAACACTTTTGGGGTTTCAGGGGTAAACAGCGTTGCAGCTAAATCCAATATCCAAGTGTCCGCAAGCCCCGACATTTATATTCGACTTGAAACAGCATCATTTAACCCATGTTTTTTAGCCTAAATGTCCTCTGTTATCCTCCTCTGGACCCATGTTCGTGCGTGGGTCACTTAGACTCAAAGATGAATCCTGCAAGGTTTAACGAAACAACAGCAGCAGCAACAGTTTTTTAGGAAGTAGTGAGTTCTCTTTGTTTACCATTCAAATGCCTCATGAACCAAAAGACATGGATTTCCAACTGTCAAGGTTCATGCTTCTTTTTTTGATTTCTGACACCTTATATCAACTTACCCTACAACAGAAGACAGTTTCCCACTTTGTGCCTTCACATCTCTGTTGGACAAATTATCTTTGGGTTTTTATTGTATTTGGATGTGAAGTTACAGTTTTTGTAAAAGCAACACAGATGTTTTAGCAAATAATGAGCTTAACCTCACAATAAAGGGGAAGAAGCTGCAGACTGGAGACACAATTTACATAAGAACAATTGGGTTTTTAGGCCAGTCCTCTTCTCCTCACTAACAGTGAAGATTGGAGGAGTTATCTGACAACATTCAAAGTTGTATTAAATTGAAATGGACAAGATTTGCCCAAACACCCAGAGGAGGCTTGGAAGATGAAAAGCACTTCTTACAAAACCCAAATTCTTATCTCTCTTTGAGTTATGTGGGTTGACTGACTGCGGGACGTCTGGAGTGAATGACAGGAATAATGTTACATTTATACTGCATATGCAGGCCAGTGTAAGATTTTTTTAAAAGTTGATATTCTGTCAACGTACAGTGATTTGGAGGGAAAATGTCATGACCGTGTTACAAATTCTAAACATTTCTCTGTTATTTACAGTCTTTGAGCCGAGCTGTGTTCTGCAGCCTGCAAATTTCACCCTGCAGGAAAACTGCATATGTCAAATTCATATGTCAAATAAGCTTTAATTTCATTTCATATTTATCGCTGAAGTTCATATCGATGTTTTAACAGCAGAAATATTAATTTGATCTTCAGAGAGTGCTCCAGAGGAAACTTTCGGGAAAACGACCTTCACTAATGTGAGTGGAACATTGTGTCTAGAGCTCTGTCAGAATATTTAATGTGATTATGTTTGTACCTGAAGATGTAGATATCCTGTTTAGATGACCTTCAGGCACATTGGTTCCTCAGGCTGAAATCAGACATTGACTTGACATTCACAGTTCCATATGAAATGACACTTTTTCTCTTAAGCAAATATGTCCCTAAATATTCAAGAAGGCAGCGAAGGAAAAAGACAGTTTGCAGTATAGCTCCCTTTGCAACCCTGTGAGTGGGACTCCAACATTATTTTAACACCAAAGTGAATCTTCTGGTGATGCCTGGAGTCATGTTTGACTTGTGTGACTTCAGATAATGAAAATGGTTTATGGTTACCCCTGAAAAGAAAGTTTTCATCAGCATTTATTTGTTGGTAAACAGGATTAGACAAGAACTACTGAACTGATTTCCAAAGAAGTTTATGGGGGTTGGGATATGGCCCAAAGAAGAACCCACTCCATTCTGGAGTGAATAAATGGGCAGATCATTGATTTTCTTTTTCACTTTCTTCGCAGTGTTTCTACCAGAATTAATTAAATCCATGATGTAGCACATGACAAACAAATTAATCAGAAATTTTGATTATTAATAATAATAATAATAATATATTATAATTATTATTGTATCTTTACAATATTTGAGTGGTTAGGTTTTTATACATTTAAAAATATATTTTACATATATTTTTGGGGGGAGCCTGCAATCGGTCAGTTATATGTGCCAAGTCACAGTTGTAAGATAGGGCTTTGTTTTAAAAATTTTGTGAATTTCAGACATTTTTACAGATAGTGATCTGTAGTTATATAATATCAAACCATCTATTTGATGATTAAGTGGCCAATCAGCCTTGACTGAGGAACGCGCCTTGCCAGGCACTCCGACTTTTGCTGGTGTAATTTAAGCAATTTCAATATGTATATGGTGACATCTGGTGGTGTGACACTGGCCCAGCACTGACTGTGGTCCAGATGAAAGAAAAGTAGTCTTATCCTTGTGAGAGTTAAAAAAATCAAGAAAATTAAATATAGCAGAAATAATTATTTTGAGCTTGTGTTCTTTCAGTTGATTTCACAAACAAGGAAATAAAGAGATGCAGTGAGACTGTGAATTGAAGTGTTAACATAAAGTTTCTTTGTATATTAAAAAATGTAATATGTATGAACAGACCGTATTTAATAGAGTTGAAAGACAATTGATATTTATGTGAATTGTATCATGGGTTATCAGAGATTAAAAAACAACTGCAAAAATATTTTATACTCCCCAACCACCACCAACATGGCAAGTGTATAATAAACCATTTATACCCCAAATTTAAAATGTCATAGAAAATACACAAACTCACACTGTCACCCTCACGTAATCAATAGACCCAGTAACATTTTTATAGACTGGAGTAATCCACATGTTACACAGTCCTGGAGTAGTTATAAACAGGCCCATCTATGTCTCTCCTTCAAAAACAAACACAAGCATTGAACAGGGCTGTTGTTTGTGTCACTCTTCACTTGCCGTCCCCGCCTGCCTTCTCCTTGCTCTTGTCCCTGGGAATACGGCCCATATTGTAAAACTCTGGGTTCGGCCGCATGTCGGTGAGGTGGGCGAGCCGGTTGGACATGGCAAAGAACGCAGAGATGGCAGCGATGTCCCAGGCATCCTCACGGTCAAAGCCCACTTCCTCTAAAGACTGGAAGTGCTTCTCCGTAATGGTGTCGCTGCGGCACACGGCCATTGCAAAGTCCAGCATGGCGCGCTCCCTAGGTCCCAGCTCTGCGTTCTCATAGTTAGTAATAACCTGGATGAAGGCAGGGAGAGGACAGATTAGAGGAAATATTTTGTTTTACAGTAAGGAAGGAAAGCAAACAACAGAATACATTTGTTATAAAAAGGAGAAATATATGGATGTTAAAATGTCAATGACTATAATATAATACATATAAAAAAGGAACAAGAAAGATATATTTCTCCTTTTCTTCTCATTTAAAACACCCATGCCTGATGTTAGCTGGTTTCTTTGTGCGGGAGGATTACACAAAAACTACTGAACATATTTCCACAAAGCTTGGTGGAAGGATGGGACATAGGCCAAGAAAGAAAACATAACATTTTGGCATGGATCTGGGATTTTTTTTCTTTTCCTCTTTCTTAACCATTGCGAGAGAGACATTTTCACAGATAAAAACAGGCATATTTAGGGGCCTGATATCAATGGCTAACGATCAGTAAAAGGTGATACCTGATCAGACAGAGTGGGCTTCTTGGAGTAGATGCGGTGCAGTGCACTGTGGGATACCACACAGTAAAGACACTTGTTGTGAATGCTGGTTGCGACTACGATCAGCTCACGATCTGCCTTGGTTAAACTGCCTGGAAGACATTAGACACTGAGTTAATGTGAAATAAGGAAAAACAACACACAACACATACAAACTAACGACACATAGTGTATGACACACTCCTGCATGATATGTAACTGATATCTTGCATAACTTGCAGATCCTGTCACACAGTGATGGAACTGAGTCAAAATTGGCCCTTATAGCTATAGACATGAGCGTGTGCGCGCACACACATATATATTATATATATATACACACACACACACCTGTCTCCTTGTTCATTAGTTCGTTGTAGTAAGAAAAGAAAGCTCTGAACTCTGCAGGCCTGTGAGAGAGCACTTTGAAGACATTTGGCAAAAAGCCTCCCTGTGAACACACAAGCACAATTAGGTATTAAAACAAATGCAGCAAAGTTGAATGTCTCACTCATTCATGTGTTTGTTTATTTCTACCTTAGACTCAACCTCCTCCATGAGCTCCACTACATCATAAGGCAAGTCTTTCTTGTTGGGGACTGGATAGCGGCTGATTTTCTCCGGAGGGGGGTCACCGGACAGAAGTCTGGTTCCCGCAGCTGCAGCCACCTTCCCCCGGGACCGGAGCGCCGCCTGGCCGTGGGACCGGAGAGGAACATGGGTGTCAAACGGAGACAGGACCAAAGACGACCAGGAGAAAGTGAGAGAACATACGAGTACTTACAAGCTGCGTGAACACAGGGGGACGGAACAACTTGGAGATGAGGTTACTCGCCATGTCACAGCCTGGAACTTGCACAGGTACGGAGTCCCGGAAGAGTCAGATCTCAGCGAGAATGTTTGCTTTCTTGTTTTGTCGCAGGACGTTTACAGGGAAGTGGCAGGAGGGCGTGTCCAAACAAACAAGACGAGAGATTATTGATAAATCTGTCACGATCATAATATAATAATATAATCAGCCTACGTCCTACAATCCAACCCATCACATATTGACTGACATTACGATTACATGCATGTGAAGTTTGGACAAACTGACGATCAGAGGCAGATTCATTTATCAATCCAAGGAAACAGGTCCAGTGGTTTTATATTAAAAAAATATGTGTTGACATCAGCGGACTGACCAATCACAGAGCAGCACTGAGCCAAGCCCGCTGTCTGCCATCCTCTTGCACTATCCCTCCACACCGCTAGGGGACAGGCTGTGTGTGTGGAGGGGACTCTGACGCCATATTTTGCTTCTATTGTCTATTGTTTAGAGTCGAAATATATAATTAATCAATGCTTATAAAAGTTATTTAGTTATATATCATCATATTCATGAGCATATGTGTGGATAGTATGAGATCTTTATTCCAGAGACCGAACTCTTCCTGAAAGACAACGGTCTGATTTCATCGATGGTCGACCCGCTGACCCGGAAGAGACTGCGTAGCGAATAAGCGTCAGGCTTTTATTCATTGACTCAAATTCAGTTGTTGTAAGTTTTCAAAACAATAATATTAACCGAGGTGTAATTGGGCATCACATCCGAGATGTTTTACCATGTAAGTATGAGTGTTATTCTCACTGCACGAGCTGGCTAATGGCGTTTACTTTAGAAAGCGTCACCGTCAACGCTGCTTGGTTAGCATTGCTAATGTAGCTGAACAGAACTTCTCCACGTTCGTTTTTGTTTTGATGACATGCGGACACATTCGTTTGTCCCTCTTTCGTTGCATGAACGACACACGGTCTCACGTTCATACGCTTTTAAAATAGTGTTTTGTTCCTATTGTTGCATCATTAATAATGGAAACCTTGTCTTGTACGTACTTTTTGTGCTCACAGATTTCGTTGGAGCATGAAATCTTGCTCCACCCGAGGTACTTTGGTCCGAACCTCCTCAACACCGTGAAGCAGAAGCTTTTCACAGAGGTGGAGGGAACCTGCACTGGCAAGTGAGTGGCTGCAACACTCAGTTATATGCAGGATATTTAAATGCAATGGTTTGATCAACTTTGTTGAAAATATATGGATCAGATTAGTAAAGTTCAGCGATCTTAAATCACATGAATTATATATAAGTTAACTCTATTCTGGTGTTAACTGTTTTGGGATTGTTGATGCTATTTAACCTATTGGATCATGTTTTGTTAAAATAGTTTAAACCTTATTTTGTAAACATTTTTACTTATAATTAATCAATTGTGTTTAAAATCAAAAGTTTAAGTTGGACCATTAAAAAATAGCAACTTAAATAGCAAAGTAGATGGATGTTCTTGTTTTCTGTTTGTTTTGACATTTTAAATTACCATGCAAATATGAATACACACTATAAATACATTAGTGTTGTATTCATATTCCAGCATGGATATGAAACATTCATGTTGTTAATTTTTTCTCTTTCAGGTATGGCTTTGTGATTGCAGTCACCACCATTGACAACATTGGGGCAGGTGTAATCCAGCCAGGCAGAGGGTTCGTCCTGTACCCAGTCAAGTATAAGGCCATTGTGTTCCGCCCATTCAAGGGGGAAGTGGTGGACGCTGTGGTCACTCAAGTCAACAAGGTGAGCAAGAGGGCAGTGCATGTTTAGAAGCTGCTGTACAGATGTCTTGAACGTTCTTAATTCTTATATGATGAAAGTATTTTAATTGCCTCTGTACAAGGGGAGGTAATATATCAGTTTGACTCCGCATTGCTTGATAAGGTTTTGTGTGTATGAGATGTATGCATATACTTCAGAGGAATCTGTACTGTTGTATGAATGGTTATTTTATTTGCTAACATGTGTGTTCACGTGTGCACACTGATACCAGTTTGATAAAGTGGAATAGAGGAATTTATTATTGAATATGTACGATATTCAAACTTTATTTTATATTTCACTGTTTCTTACAGGTTGGATTGTTCACAGAAATTGGTCCCATGTCTTGCTTCATCTCTCGCCATGTGAGTCCATGTAACATTTATAGTTGTTGCCTGCATTGGTTGCCCTGGTTTATATTAATATCCTATATCTTGTCTTTTCTTTTTTTCAGTCCATCCCTTCAGAAATGGAGTTTGACCCCAATTCCAACCCTCCTTGTTATAAGACAGTTGATGAGGTAAGAATATTTAGTGTTATTTGTGTTATTTTGTAGAACAAAAAATGCAACCTTCGGTTGAAAATATTTTCCTCTTTTGGGTTTTAACAGCTTTTTAAAATGAAACAGTCAATGAAAAAATCTAGATCATTGTAGTTAAACTTTTTTCCTCTGTTCTCTTCAAGGACATTGTTATCCAGCAAGATGATGAGATCCGGCTCAAGATTGTGGGAACAAGAGTGGATAAAAATGACATTGTAAGTGTATTATTTCTTTAACAAAGATATGGAGCAATGTTTCCACATCGATACAGAAAAAGATGTGTGACTATATGTCAAATGTTACATTGTGATTCGTAGAAATAACACAGTGTACGTTGCTTTTTATTTGTTTTTCAGTTTGCTATTGGATCTCTCATGGATGACTATCTTGGTGAGTATCATACCTCAGAACACTGTCATACAGATGGTAGATGTGCTCATTAGACGGTCATTAATTGCAATATAGCAAATGTAGGAGTCCTGAGGCTTGTATACCCTGGATATCTCTTTGTTATTTGGTCTCACTAAGCCTAACAACCTCGCTAGGTCCGCTTAGCATCTCCCGAACGCCTCCATGTAGAAGTGCTTAATCACCTCTCTCGTTAGATGATAACAGCATACAAAAACACAATGAAATGGCTTTGACTAAACTGCAGCCCAGATGAAACAAAATGCTTAAAAAGAGGGTGTCTTTCTTCACGAGAGTGCACGCCTGTTGTGGAGCTGGCCTACTGCAATAAAGAGGACAGTTCTGGTCCAGTCTCCACACATGTTTGCCATCCTGTGAAACCCTTTCATGATTGCCCCATTAAGCTCTACAGGATCTTCCTTGAATGTTAATGCCATTTTTCAATTGGTCAGAAGCCAGTGTTTTTCTACACTTTTATCTCTAACATGATCAGCTCTGGATTTGGTTTGGTGCTCAGTATAGGGCACCATGGCGATTTAACCTGATACCAGAAGATGATGCAACAAGAAGTTGCCTCACTAACCACAAATCCTGCTTTGTAGTACTGGCCTTGTTAATTGAATGTGTGTTGTTTTTTTGTTCTGCGATTGTTAATTGAACTCCCCGTCCTCTTTTTTTTTTTCAGGTCTTGTGAGCTGATTCACACCACAGGATGCACAGGGAACATTTTATGTAGTAGTGTCTTTCTTTGTTGTAATGAATATTTTTCTACTGTGATTGATGTGGTTTGGTGACAGGCAGTGAAGCCCACAGTTTATTTTGTTTTATTATCACGCTGTACAGACTGTATTTCTCCTTTTTTATTGGAAGCCATGCATTTAGTCTCTCTTTCATACGGAATTCATAATTTCCATCTCAGCTATGTTTGTTATTTTGTATGTAGGAAGTAATAAAGTATTTTATTTGTTCTTATATATATATATATCTTTGTCTTTTTTAAGTAACTACATTCATATATATTTTTTTTAAATCTGTTGTAACGTGCTGAAACGTGGCACCGCTTCACCCCTACGTACAAATCCAGAGCCGAAATGTGAACGCGGAAGTGTCACGGGCGCGCACGTCTTTTGGGCGTAAATACGTCAGAGGAGCGCGCCCTCGCTCTTTCTTTCTCTCGTCCTGAAGATGGCGGCAGGGGTGAGTAAGATGGAGAAATGGCTACAGATGAAGCTGCGTGTGAACTTTCTGACTCAATCCGTCGAACATCGGTCGCATCTGGGCTCTTATTGAATATCTCTCGGTCTGAGCCGTGTCCTGGGTGTGAGATGGGGCAGATTAAGTGTGTATTTAAGGAGATGTTCATTCAGTCTTCATTCAGCTAGCTTGTGCTACACTGACGTAGCATTGAAAGTGAATGACGCCCCTCTCCTGACGCAGGCTAGTGCCACGTTACCTTTAACAATTTTCATTCTGTGAAAATTACCTGCTACATTTTTAAATATCCACCTTTAATCCGTTTGGTTCTCGACCGGTTTGGTTTTGTTTTCTATGTAGCTTTCGGGTTTTTGCTTGTCTACGAACGAGTATGATGCTAGTTAGCCTTAGAAGCTAACAAATAGCCACGTGAAAACCTTTGGGTTTTGTTTGTTGGTTCGTGCCCAAAACTACATTCGGTTGTGGTGGGTCGCTTTTGTAAGATTTATTTAGCCGTCTTTCAGCCTGTCACCATTGTCTCCTTCATTTCCAATTTTTAAAACGTGGCTAACATCAGGTTTTAAATGGCTTCATTCATTTGCGTCATTAAAACTCAAAGTCCCATCATGCCCTCTAACTGGAGTGATGGCTCGATGACCCAGTTTTCCTCTGGACGTTTCAATTATTTAACCATGTACTTTAACATCGATATGAAAACATCTTAAGGCCAAGTAAACATGTAGCAGTCCTGTTTACAAAATTGTGCCAAATTATTTCTAATTAAATTATTTTATTTTCATTTGCAGCAATCATTTCAGTGTTGTCTCCTTCTTTCAGACTCTGTACTCGTACCCAGAGAACTGGCGGGCGTTCAAGGCCCAGATTGCAGCCCAGTACAGTGGCGCTCGCCTCAAAGTCGCCAGCAGCTCCCCTGCCTTCACCTTCGGGCAGACGAACCGCACTCCTGCCTTCCTCAGCAACTTCCCTCTGGGCAAGGTGAGTGCTACTGGTTTGTTGGTTTACAGGGATTGTCTCTGTTTAGCTGTTACTCTAGTTGCAATGTTAGGAATGAATATAACCAAAGGCTGTGTATCTTCCTTGCGCCAACTCATTCAGTTTAAACTGGTTTGACTGCACTACCGTGTGGCAAGCCAATCTGCTCTTGCACACAACTCCTTGATTCTGCTGTTATAATAAACCAAATGAGCCACGTTGTTTTTTTGCAGGTCCCCGCCTACCAGGGAGATGACGGCTTCTGTCTGTTTGAGAGCAATGCCATTGCTCATTACCGTAAGTCTCAAATTAATTAATAATCAAATGCCTAGTTTTACCCTCTCTAGGTTAGGATGTTCATCCAGAACAGTGATTCTCAACCTGGGGGGTTGCAAGATAATATCTGGTGGTGACATCTAGATGGTTAAGATAAAGATATTGATACAATATTCTCAACTAGTGATAGGATATGCTTCAGAAGGGGCATTGAGGGTGTGTTTGAGAGTCAGTCCTATTGTTCATGAGTTGGTGCTTGGGCCTTTACAAGTAACTTAGACTTCCATGTATGGCCACAACTCTGACACTGTGGCGTGAAACAGCTGCCTGGTCAGGCTGAGGGGTAAAGAAAAAAAATCACAAAGTATCGTGTTACCACATGGTTTAAGGAAACAGTTTCATTGAAGATTAATGTATGTCAAAGGCTTAGTAATGGTGGCATGTGTCTGTCCAGTCAGTGAAATTGAATTCAGATTCTTAAAATATTACTTTGTTTTCACAGTAGACAATGCATTTTTCACTGTAGAGGTGGGCCAACAGTGAGCCAGCGTGTGTAGCATATGGTAAAAGGAATACGTTGGACCACTAAATGTTCGATATGCCTGTTATGAAGCTTTAATGTTCTTGTGGTCTTGAAGGGACATATTAATGTTGTAGTACACTGTTAGGCTAGTTAAATCCACTTGGTCAAATTTTTTTTTTTTAAATTGATTTCTAAAATGTCTAATTTTCTATTTCCAGTGAGCAATGAGGCCCTTCGTGGTGCCACTCCCCAGGCTGCTGCCCAGGTGCTGCAGTGGGTGAGCTTCGCTGACTCTGAGATCATCCCTCCAGCCAGCGCGTGGGTCTTCCCCACTCTCGGAATCATGCAGTTCAACAAGCAGGTATCTTGCCTAGCATTTCTTGGACAAACATAAGACTTA